CACCAACTTTTTAGTTGACGCTTTTCAAAACGACTTGTATTCTCAGGGATCTAGTAAACATGTTAAAGGGACACGGATTCAGGATTATTCTGTTGTAGTTGGAATTTATTTACTTATGTCTCTTTTGTGTAATTTGAAGAAAAAGTACAACATGTAACCAATGTAAGTTTGTTATCTCAATGTATGATGTTTGGATTTGCTATGTTTCATTTATATTCAATTGTTATGATACTGCACAATGAAGTCACCCGCCTCCGGACGTTTCCGCCGTCTGGTCCGGGGGTGTGACATTATATACGACATTTTTTTTTCTTTCATATTTTAGTATTTGACAAATCACAAATTGATAGTCTAGTAATATTGGTTAAAAAAACAATGCAATGTTCAAAGCCAAACAAGAAACATATCATAAACAAATTTAGTAATATAACATACATTTCAATAAGCTATATTGTCAGGTCCTGTTGATTCGCCATCAGGGAGGGAGGGTATACAGATAATTAGTGAAATTGCTTAACATGTCAACATCCACTGATAGATGTAATCGATATCCGAAAATTCGGATATCTGAATTTTTGGATAGTGGACTCGGATATCCGAATCCGTATCTAAAATTTCGGATACGGATATAGAATCAATTCGGATATCCAAAATGTTTCTGTTTTTTCATCAATATAAATAAGTGGAGCAACATTTGACTAATAATCATCTAAAAACATCTTATATTTACATACAAATTTCTAAGCAAAACATAAAATAGAAAAAAAAACGAAAGAAATCGACCAACTTGTAAATATAGTGTAGGAATAGATGACTGAAAGGCCCACTCTTTCATATATATAACAATTGTTACTCCAAAACATGCTACATGCATATTTATAAAACATTATCTTACATTGATAAAGTGATTACAAAAGATTGGATACAAACCGACTATGTTTTAATATTTTACATAACTACCCAGGATATTGTAAATCTATACAAACATAAACCGAAATACAAAAGTAATAGTATAAACTATTCTAAACCTTCCAAGAGTATATGACTATACTGGTTACTTATTCCCTGCAAATTTGTTAAACATGGAGAGGGTAAGCGGTGACGCTTAGTGAGTTCAATAATAGATACAATATAACGTTATGTCATATATATACTTTAATATGGCAGAGGAAAAGAGGATCAAGGAACAACAAAGGCATATGTGAATCATGTGACAAACTTTCCATACTTGATATACATCAATAAAGCTTTGGCCCAAATGGCACAGAAGACATACAACTTCGGATTAACATTTTGGTTGATTTCAGACTTATAACCCTGTCTAACCTTTTGCCAATACCATAGAATAGAAATCATTCTCTTACGGAGACATGTTCTACATGGCCAGAGGCTACATACCAGTACCAATATGAATCTAAGTCCTTTCACTAATCACATGGTCAAAGGTATTTCTTTTGCTATTAAAATAACGAATAAAAAATAACACGGAAAATACTCAAGAATATCATTCTGCTAGAATATTCAGGATTTCAGCCTTATCTTAGAATACTACCGAAGCCAAAGTGATGCCTATGTCATACACTTCATGCTCAACGGTTCATACCAATACCCAAGTGATGCCTATGTCATACACTTCAAGTCAAAGGTACAGTCTTGCTATAAAAATAGCGGAAATAATAACTCGAGATGATAACATGGAAAAACACATAGCACATATAACACATAACATACAATTGTTCCTATATATTAAACTCACCGTGAAATAACCGGGGGTCAAAATAATAAATTGTGCAGCATTTCGGCTCTAAATATGACTTTCGTCGTTGAAAACCGGGAGTTTTCTTGAAAACCGGGCCCTGCGAGGGTTGGGCTTCGAAACTGAAAATATAAATTTTTCGGGCTTCTCGGGAATTTCGGGGCGTGTTTCGGGCGTTGGAATTAATCCCGGGGCTTCGAGGGATGTCAAAATAATAGAAATATTAAAAAGGGGGGTGAAAATGGCAATTTTCCCATTTTACCCGGGTAATCTCGCAAGGCTCTTATTTATAGGGGAGGAGGTCTGAAGGCTCGGATCTGAGGCAATGAGAAGCGAGCACGTATGCGAGGCTCGGACCAGCTGGCAGCAGGGCGAGGCTCGGAAGGACACCTGCGAGCTTTGGATTGGTCGGATGACGCGGCAACTCTTCGGTTCGGGCCAGCACTTCGGACCAATCAGCGGGTAACACGCGTACTGCGGTCCAATCAGCAGCGAACACATGTCCGACACGTGTAAGCCTCGCATGCGAGGGTGACGTGTCCAAAGATGACTCATGCGAAATTTCTCGAAAATTGTGCCAAATCTTGTAAAATCCATAACTTTCTCATACGGGCTCCGTTTTTGACGTTCTTTATATGCACGCGTAGAGAAATCTATGCTCTACAACTTTCGTTTAGACTTCGTCGGAAAATTTTGACTGTATTTTTATATTATTATTTTTAACAGACCGGGACTGGTAAATCCGTTAAAAATTCATAACTTCTTCATCCGACGTCCGTTTTCGTCAGACTTTTTACCGTTGTACTGCTAATGACGAGACCTTCGATTCTCGTTTAGGTTGTGTCGGCTAAAAATCACTCGATCTAAAATTCAAGTTTTTAGTTGTCTACTGCTAAGTTGAAACTTAGAAAAATCATAACTTCCTCATACGAAGTCAGATTTTGGCGTTCTTTTTATCAAAATTCTCGGTTTAACGAATACTACGACTTTCATTTAGATCACTAAGGCCAAAAAGTAGTTTATCAAAAACTCACTTTTTACGTCATTCGGCACCGTGCCGGTTTTGTCGCAGATCTTCGATTGGTCATAACTTCTTCGTTATAACTCGGATTTCGATGAGGTTTTCGCCTATATGTTTCTAACGAGATTATCTACAATTTTCAATAATAAAATTTCACTTATTTCAAATTTTATATTTTCGCTAAATTTCACTATTTAGCTAATAATTTGAATCTCATAAGACTTCCAATAATTTATGAGTGATTCTAAACATAGTTTTACCTTATTTCTAGTAAAACTATCTGTTAGAACTCAACACTCAATTTCACATAATATTTCATAATATTATTAACTTTTAATTTACATAACACGATTTCAAAACGTGTATGTTACATTCGTTTTGATCGATCATATCCATTAATCAAAGTTACTATGTTAGCATTCAAACAACAAAATACATAATTAATTATGTTATTTATATAAAATAATCAACAATAATTAGTATAATATAGCCTTTTTGTTTACAAATAACAAATACAACAATAAAAGAAGATATCTTTTGGATTTCCTATATTACTACGAGTTTTGCAGAAAGTATTTTTTTTCCATCAATCATGTTCAAAACAAACTCTTCCATCACACCATCACCACAAGAAAAAACATGAAAAAACACATTAGAAATCCGTAAACTTCACAATAATTAAACTTCACAACATATTAAAAAATTGTTTATCTATTTTCTAATGATATGAGAAAAGGAATTGAGAAAGTAGGTTACCATTATGCACGCATAGTAACCACCTACTGTTAAGTAGAAAGACAACATTCTAAAAACGTCCAAAAGTTGACCAAATATGTATAACTCTGTAGAAGAATCTAGGAAGACCAATCAATCATCAATCCACACAGATGAATTGGTGAGATCTTTGGCTGTTTTTTTGTGGATGACAAGACAAAAGAAAAAAAACAAGTTAATAAGATAAGTTCAAGACTGAAAACCTGTAATTAGGGCTTCAAGATTCAAGAACCCATGACAGCACAATTTTAAACAAACACACAAACATATTCTTCAAACGCAGTACCCAATAGCGATTGATGTCATCAAGTGGATTAACATATCCTACATTCCAACAAGATAAAAAGTTGTAGAAAATCTTCAACTATGGTGTGTGGGGTACATCATATCTTGACAAACAAACATAAAGAGGGAGATGGAACTGATATCGTCAATCAAGTAATCATCTAGTAATAGGTCAATCCAATCCATCTGATGGAAACTGGTTCAAGTCTTTAGTTTTACAAATTAGCTACAAATGCATGTAACAAAACGTAGCTACAATAGATTCAACAATTTAGATGCACAAATTGTTGACCAAAATCTTAGCGATATTAGGGTTCTCTTTCCTTTAAGCTTTTTCAAACAAAATAGAGTAATCAAGAAGATTAGCAACATTACCAGTGAATTAGGACAGTTCCAAAATCGTCTTGTTGGGTTGTCATGTTTTTAGGTCTCACATTGTTTAGATGGATAAGGGCAGAAATGTGTAGGGTTGTCCCCTGTAGGTGAGGTTCTTGCTACGATTGGAAGGTATGTGTTCGTCTTGTTCATCATGGATCGACCATTCAATGAAGATGACATTGTCGAAAAAGAAAGAAATTCAATTGTAAGGTTTTGGAAAGGAGGCTCGGTATGCATAAAAAGGGAAAGAAGTAATGGCAATGATCTAAATGAAAGCTTCAAGTTTCTACATTAATAAATATATTGACACGTTGGCATGTATGTGGACAAGTGTAGTCCATGTCATTTAAACACGTCAATCTTGCAACCGATAAACGGATAGAATATGAGCTTGTGCCCTTATTTAAAGAGTCAAATTATAGTTTAGGCACTTATAATGCACAAAAATAATAGTATAGACCTTTTAAATGGTTTGTGAAAGTTGATTGAATTTTAATGACATTAACATTTTCTTATCTACACTCCCATCGTTTCAAAATCCCACCTACAAAAATTTCAGAATCAGTATTTCCCCCACCCCGCAAATTTTCTCCTAACCTATCTCTTTCATCAGGGAATTGGATGATTGCCTCTTTGAAATCATACTACGTACCCCATGCATCTTCAAATATTTAAAATATAATCTTTTCGACAAAAAGAACCCACATCATATGAATTTACAAGTTTACTTGCATAAAATACAAATCATTATATCAGGATTTTTTTAATTTCCTAAACGTTGGCAATTTAGTTTGGATCAAAGCTCTCTTCCAACCACTTAACTTGAATACGCACACCAGCATCCCTAAGAGCATGCAAAGAAGATCTATAAAGCCTTGAATCCAAACCTGTTCCTTCAGCTTTCATATCCTGCAAAAGCTTCACCAATTCATCCACCCTACTCATTTTCGAAAACACCCCTACCATAATCCCACCCATAGCCCTATCAATCCCACCACCATTAAGCCTATACTCATTGTAATACTTCATACACGTGTCAAACTCTCTTGCCTTACTATAAGCACTTATGACACTTGTATAACTTACCTTATCAGCCACAAGTCTCCTTCTTTTCATCTCCTTCCATATCTTCTCAACTTGCCTCAAGTTCAACACTTTCCCATGCATGTCAAGGAGAGAATTGTAAATCCACACGTTGAGTTCCACCCCACGTGCTTTCATGCGAGCTAACAGCCGCATGGCGTCTCGAATCCTGTTTTGTTTCCCATACATTGCAATCATGCTAGAATACGCCACAACACATTTATCGAACCCTTTGTTGTCCATTTCCCAAAACACCTCTTCTGCTTTTTCATAAAGCCCGATACGACAGTAAACGTTTAGGATAGAAGCATACGTCACTTGTCCAGCGTGGCAACCTTCTGCGGTCAACTCTTCGTAGACCTTTACTGCTGAAGTCAACCCTCTTTTCTTTGAGAACCCGTTTACGATAGCACAAAAGATACAATCTGAAACTTTAATGTTTGCTTTTTTCATTGAAGAAACAACGTCGAGTGTCTTTTCGAGTGACCCGAGTTCGATGTACATCAAAACGAGCTTTAAAAAGACTGCTGGGTCTCTTAACATGTTCTTCCCTTCGGCTTCTTTCGTAAGGTCTTCTACCATTTTCACTTCTTGAATGGCTACAAATGAACTGATTAATGTTGAGTAAAAAGGAGGGTCTTCTTGGAACCCTTTCTTGATCATGTCCCGAAAGTAATCTAGGGCTTGAAATGGTTTGCCTGATTTTGCTAAAGATTCGATTAAAATCCTGTAGATTTGTGAGCAAAAAGGTGTCCATTCGAGATTGCTTGATTCGAATTCTTTAAACAAGGAAATGACTTTATCGTTCTTTCCCATTTTCAGATAAGCTTCCATGGTGCGTCCGTAACATTCCCCGTCTAATTGCATACCAAAAGATTTCATAATATCGTACACGTTGACTGCACTACTATACATATGAAGCTTGTTATAGCTTCGCATGGCAGCATTAAAACTTAAAATGGCAACTTCTTTTTCAAATTTTAGAATATGAAGCAAATGATTAGCAAGTTTAAATCTCTTGGCTCGAATGCAACTACTGATTAATCTACAACAGGATGAAGCACTTGGGTAGACCTTGAATTTCCCAAAATCATCGGAAATTGACCAAATTGAATTCCAATTCTTCAAACGCAGCGAGTACCTGATTAGATTATGCAATGTCGATCTCGTGGGTGTAAAATCTGGTGTTCTTTTGGCCTTCTGGTAACTCTCGAACCCCATTTCTTCAGTTTTTGGATCCTTCAACAGTTTGCATATCAATTGATTGAGATTCTCCTGATGGGGTACGGATGAATCTCCAAGATTTTCAACTTCCATGTCCAATTCGATGAGGGAAGAATCGGTGGACTCCTCATCGTCTAGTATTGGTGGTGGACAACTTGTGGATGAATTGAGGATCAAGATTCTTGAAGAAGATGAGAAAGGGGGAGAAATGAAGAGAAGAATCGGGGAGTTTTTGGATGGATTGAAGGTGAGGTTTTTGTGGGTTCTTTTGATGCAATGAATGTAAGCTAAGGACCACTCTGAAGAAGTGGAAATGGCCATTGTTGATGAAGATAAGGCATGGAATGAATGGGGGAAGAACTGAGAAGTGAATTTCAGAGAGGGAAGCAGACATGATATGTTTGGATGATTTTGGGGGTGTGATTTTGTGAGTTGTATTCATGTGAGCCACACATATGTTATTTGTGTGAATATTGGCCGTGTGGATAATATCTTTTTTTTTTTTAAAGCAAGGCGACAATTAGAAATGAAAAATATAAGGGATAATGACTCAGGTAATTAGGTTTTTTTTTTTTTGTGTATTAGACCAATATGGTTGTTATTACCGTTTAGAAATAGTCTTTTTTACCGATTTCTTCATGTTTACCGGTAAAAAAGACTATTTCTAAACGCTAATAACAACCATATTTGTATAATACGCACAAAAAAAACCTTAGTGACCTAATACGGATAAACTGGAAACCTAATTACCCTCCTAAGTCATTAATCTTAATTTTAAGACATTGAGAATATATGACCATCAACAGTAAACTAGTTCGTTTAGAACTCTCGTCGTCCCATATCGACCAGAAGAAGAACATGCTACTCCTCTATATGGCGAAGCTCTTCATCTATAGTCGTCCCTTTGGGGACATCCGATAAAATTGGAACGATACAGAGAAGATTAGCATGGCCCCTGCGCAAGATGACACGCACAAATCAAGAAATGGTCCAATTTTTTTTAAACCCTTCCTCGTCTTCTCTTAAACCCTAATTCCCTTTTCAAATGCTACTAGAGTTCAATTGTAATTATTACGTTTCAGTAGATGAACTACTGAAGTCATGATCAGACAACATGTGGATTCCATGGTCAGGTTAATCTTCTTGTTGATGTCTTCAACCGTTTGTGGCAAGTAAGGGTGATCTTTCTTTCTATAAAGTCTCCTTTAAGTTTTTTACTTTTCCTGTCATTAAGTTTCATGCTTTATAAACTTCCGTTTATGTGTTGTATATAGTCTGTATGTGTTTGTTTATCTGTATGTCATTAAGTTTCATGCTTTATAAACTTCCGTTTATGTGTTGTATATAGTCTGTATGTGTTTGTTTATCTGTTGATTTTTATTCATTTTGCAACTTCAGTTTCTTAGTTCATGTTGTGGTTTTGCTGTTTATAAAATAATTGATAATAGGCATCCTTTGCAAGTCCCTGTTGGTTTTACATTTCCATTCGTTATCAAATGTAGACATTGATGGGATGTATCAAAGTGAGATTGTTTTTGTACATATGGATGTGTTCATGTAAACATTTAAATGACAAAAAAGAAGTTATTGATAAAATGTTGCATATTTATGTAATGAAGATCATCAATCATATGAGTTTTTGGACTTGGAAATTTTGGAAGGGTTGTGTGATAAGTTTAAATGGAAGCAACTATTTTCAGTCAAACAAGTCAGTCACATTGATTAGTAAACTTGTTTTCTAAATAATTAGGGTTAGTCAAACAAGTCAGTCACATTGATTAGTAAACTTGTTTTCTAAATAATTAGGGTTAATGACTTAGGAGGGTAATTAGGTTTCCAGTTTGTCCGTATTAGGTCACTAAGGTTTCTTTGTGCGTGTTAGACCAATAAGGTTGTTATTACTGTTTAGAAATAGTCATTTTTACCGGTTAAACAGGAAGCAACCGGTAAAAATGACTATTTCTAAACAGTAATAACAACCATATTGGTCTAATACGCACAAAAAAACTTTAGTGACCTAATACAGACAAACTAAAAACCTAATTACCCTCCTAAGTCGTTATCCCAAAATATAATTATGATAACATGATAACCATAAAAATTAACTTGAACATTCAGTTGATAAAGATTAGAAGACAAACTTAATTCATTAAAGAGCTGTTAGGTAGGATGTTTGGTAGGTTCTGAATCTGAATTTTTAAGAGGTTTGAATTTTTAAGACATGAGGTTTGGTTGGAACCTTTGAATTGTTATACTGAATTAAATTGACCATTTTACGCTTATGTGTTGTTTTCATTGCATTCAATGTTTTTGTTTAAAGACAAAACTGTAAAAGTGGTCCCTATGGTATTCAGAAATCTTTGGATAGGGTCCAAAAAGTTTTCAACTTGCATGGATGGTCCAAAATCAAGAATTTTTTTTGGTTTTGGTCCTGAAAAAGTTGAAAGGACTATTTTGCCCTTAATATTACTTTTTACATTTTTTTTATTTGTTTTAGTATTTAAATAATTATAGAAAAAATAGAAAATAAAATAAACCCCACAACCTCTCTCTCTCTCTCTCTCTCTCTCTCTATATATATATATATATATATATATATATATATATATATATATATCAATCGACAATCCTTAAATGACACCACCACTGATGGTGACCCTCACCCCCAATTTATCGTCCATAGTGGAGATGGATCTCTGGTTGATACTGTGGATATGGATCGAGGGTAGTGAAGGAAGGCATGAAGGCTAACGATCATCCTTGATCCACACGAAGCATTCCTAACCCTAGCTCCTTCTCCATTTACACAATCACCGACCACTCTCTGAACCACCCTAATTGTTGCGGCAACATTGACGTGTGACCTCCCTAGAAGTCCAAGAAACGCAACCATTGTTGTCTTTGTCCCAAGAGTGCCTACTATCTGTAAGTATGACTCAATTGCTGATACCCAAACACCCTATGGAATCCCCTTATTAACCACCATGCCCTTTAGCTCCTTCTCTACTTCCTTCTCTGTATCTTCCTAACCCTAACCAAGTCTTCATTGCTAAGGTGGTAAAGGAAGGCATGGAGGCTAACGATCAGATACACATGAAGCATTTATAAGCTCTACCACTGTTAAAATCTTACATGGGCCTTATTTATCGATGATTCTTGCAACCATAACCAACTAAGCCGATTCAGAGGCCTCTTAACCTTAACAAAAATTTCCTCTGCCTCCAATTCAAGTGCTCTGACATCGATTGAAGCTCTGGTAAACTCTAGATCATTGGTCATTTGTTTATTTGATCTACACCCCTTCTCCTTACTCTGCCCTTTCATTTATGTTTCAATTTCATTTTCCCCACCTAGGATTTGTTCAGAAATTGATGATTCCTCCCTGGAATCACCTATTACTGTGTTATCTTGAGTTGAAAACATTGATAGTCTGTTGATGTTTTTGTAAGGAATGGAGCAGGTCTTGATTGGTGATTCCTGAGAATTGGTAAAGCCCCGTGAATTTAATGATATGTTATTTAGAGATTCAGCCTTGGTGGTGAATTTAAAGGGGTGTTATAGGAAGAATTGTGGGTAAACCCAAATTTGTCTTTGAAATGGACAGGAGGTGATAATCGGTGGTGGTTGTGGTGTTGCCGGAAAAATGGAGGTGCGATGAATTGTAACATCCCGAAATTCAGGTACAGCTATTTAACCCTTCTCTTTTGTCAAGTTGTCAAGGTTAGCCCATTGAGTGGAAATTGTAGCAAATGAGTATGTTGGGCGTACTCAAGAGTACGTTGCGCGTACTCATGCGCTTGAAATGGACGCGGACCCTTTAAGGTACGTTGGGCGTACCAAAGTTACGATGGGCGTAACTGGTCCAGATGCAAACCCTAAATGAGACTTGTGCACTATATAAGGAATGATATGGCCTTATCCTCAGCCACCATTTCAAAGAGAGAAACCCTAAGAGAGCATTTCCTTCGTCCTAAAGCTAGTGTGTGTGAGTTCTTGAGCTAGAAAGTGCCTTTGTGTGTTAGTGAAGAAGAAGAGGAGGTTCTTGTGGAGGCTAGAAGTTGAAGTGCAAGTTTGGATCTGAGTTCTTCAGAGGGAGGAGCTTCATTTAGAGGTAAAAAGCTCAGAACTTTCCTCTTTATTTTGGTTTGGTGTTTCATGGTCCATTTCTAGGGTTAAAGTCCCAAAGGTGGAGACTTTATGAGCATAAGGGACTCCATGGACCTAGATCTGTCCCATTTCAGTGATATATGTGTTGTAGATCCATAAAAATCCCAACTTGGTCGTCATTAGGGAGTCATGTTTGAGTTATGAGCTTTAAAGTGTTGGAAGTGGAATGATTTGGGTGTTGGTGACTCTTACAGCCATGCAAAGGCTTAAAGTCACCAACTTTATGGATTAAGAGGCTAAGGGGTAGTCAGATCTGGGAGTTGGACGTGTGTCTTAACTGTTTAAGACCCCAAAAGCTAAGGAGTCTGAAACTGGGAGTTACGTTGGGCGTAATCCCAGTACGCGCGGCGTAAGGGGTCGCGCACCCCGTTTCTGTGAGGTCGCCGGGTACGCCCAGCGTACAGGTTCGGTACGCGCAGCGTAACCCGGAGAGTTGACTTTTGTTGACTTTTAGGGTTTGGTCAACATTTGGGTCTTTGAGCCATGAGAGGGGTAAAATGTTCTTTTACCCTTCTGAGAGTGCTAAGAGAGGGAACAGTCTAGCCTTGAGAGTTGTATTGATTAGAGTGCTTATTCTATGTGATTAGGCGGAGGCTAGAGCAGAATTTACCGAGTTCGAGATTACCGAGTTACCCGAGGTGAGTCTTCTCACTATACTGTACCTGGAAGGGTACTTATGTGTGACCGGAAGGTCTTGTATGCTATGAGATGTACGTGTTATATGTGGTTATGTGATATGTATGTGCTATGTATGTTAAGTATGGTATGGACCGGAAGGTCAAGATGATATGGACCGGAAGGTCAAGATGATATGGACCGAAAGGTCGATACGGGTAGGACCGGAAGGTCTACCGGGATTTGGGACGGAAGTCCCTGAGACACATGGATCGGAAGATCCTACAGAGTTATGGCCTGGAAAGGCGTATGTGTGGTATGTGGTATTTTGGGGAACTCACTAAGCATTTATGCTTACAGTTGTTATGATATGTGTTTCAGGTACTAGCGAGGATCGCGGGAAGGCGCCGGCATGATTCGTACACACTTACGGAGTTTATGTTATTGAGATTCTGGGACATGTTTTGTTATGACACAGTGAATACATTATGTTTTATGATTATCGTGTAATTGAAAGTATGATTTAAAAATGAAAAATT